GGGGTGGGGTCAGCAATGGACGGGCAGGAGAACAGGACTACTGAAGTATACTTTAATGAAGTGTATCCCATCCCAAAGACAAAAATTTAATATATTACAGCTTACCAGTGCTTAGATGTGATGGCTGCATTAGTTTTCTTTTTTTCTAGTGATCCTGCCAGTAGCACACTTCCTGTCCTAGGGTGACAACGCTCACTCATTGTAATGTATCTATGGAGGAGCAGTGCTGTTACATTAGGATAGGAAGTGTGTTTGGACTGCAGAACATCTTTCCCTCTCCTCTTCTTCATAAAAGGAAGTGGAGGGGGTTCTGTATTTCCCCAGAGAGCTGGGAACAATGTAATTATAACAGTGTAGCACAGGAAGAGAGCAAAGGAAGTTTTCACCATTTCTGGCAGGATCAAAGACTATTTTTTGCACTTTTTAATTAGAATTGTGACTCACTCAGCCTCATAATCTGAGCCGACCTGTGACAATGAAACTGTCACAGGTCGGCTCAGTAGATCGGGAAGTGAGAACACATACCGGCGCTCGCTCACTTCTCGATATATCCCTGCAGAGAGTGGTGACCGTCACTCACTGCTCCCTGCAGGGATTCCCCCCGTACCCACTCTGATCCTCCAGCGCTGACTGGCGGAACGGACGGGGGAGGGGGAGGGTACAGCTGGCTCTGCCTCTAGATAGGCAGAGCCTGCTTCACTCACGCAGCTGGGCGGAGCCGGGCACAAGTGTCGGGATCCGCTTCAGCTGCGGCGTCTCAGTATATAGGGAGCTGTAGCTCGCGGTATACTGAGCTTTGGGTGACGGGAGGACGCTAGTTTGTGTCTCCCATTACCCTTAGGAGAACTATGGGGAAAAGCCCTGACACCATAGTTCTCCTTTAATGGTGTATTTAAGAGTTTTAGACAGAGTAACTTTTCTTGTTCCTGACAGAAGATAAAATAAGTTATTTTGCATGATCTCTGGGGGCCCTGACAGTCTGTCTGTCCTTCACTCCCGTTTGTAGAGTGCGCACTAGCGCCCCCTATTGCACCGTGGAAGTCTTGGCCCTTTGGAAACAGACGGTGCTGAACCTTCGGGTGGTTTATAATGGGTTGCACATTTTCAGTGCACAATAAATACATTTACTGAGTGCAAATTGTGGGTAAAACGTCTGTAATGATCGCAGCATATTAAACAGGCGAGTTCCTGGCAGCGAGTGGAAATGAACGGCGCTCAGCAGGGATTTAATTAACTGAGAATTAAGGAGCTGAATTACGGAATAATTTCCCCCGCTGCACTCATGTTTCAGCTTTAACAGAAGCTGCTCCGAAAATCCCGCTTCACTGGTGGAATTGTTACTTGTGGGGGAATTGGGGGGGGGGGGGGTGTTGTGGGTGTTTGTGACTACAA